AAATGCGCTTTACCCAATTGGTGTGTGTATGGATTGTGATAAGAGTTGTATGAGCCCCTAATAAAATGATTTAAAAAAAAATTTTATGTTGAACCAAGTTTAGACTTGGAGAAAAGTTGTGAAAATAGAATAGGGTTTCCTTATATCCTCCACTCAGAAACTTCTAATATTAGCATCTAACATAATAAGCATAGTTAATTATTAAGCAAGTACATATTGGCATAGAGGCAGCTCTCAGATTATAAATGAGTTCAGTTCCTAAGTTTGTCTTTAAGTCAAATTTGTACATAAGTCAGAGCAATTAGGTGTAGTTTGTACCTAATATCAGTCAGATGTTTGTCTTGGTATGTAGTATACCTGCTCCTCACTTAACTGACCTGGTTTGAAAGACCTGGTTAATATGGGGGAGAAAAAAGAGGCAAACTATATTGGAACACAAAATGGAAGATGGCTACTTTATAATGCAACTGCCAAGTTTCCTCCATTACATAAACTGCCCAACCACTGAGAATCATGGCCCACTCCACTGACACACAATCTCAACCCTCACAGCCTGTGCTACTGATTTACACCTTGACCACCAGATGTGTGCCATTAATACACCTAATAGGTAGATGTGTATACTGTTGTAAGTGTGAAATGTCAGGTAATGAGATTGTCTATCGTGAGGAGTAGGTGATACAGTGTACCTTTTTATGCATAAAACATTAAAAAAGCCTTTCCAGAGACATGAAGCTTCATAACAGTTACAGTGTTGTGGTGTGTGTTGCAAAGGAGCACTGATTTGTTAGGAACCATTGTACATCACATTTTTGATGTAGGCCTGAAAGGGGTTGGCTCCTAATCTGTGTTGTAAATAAGTTGGAAGTTTGTAATATGGGGACTCCTTATAGTAGCATTAACTAAACCCTGAACCCACAGTCCTTATCGAGTTTCACCAGTTTTCTACATGCCCTTTTTCTGTGCCAAGACTTGGTGGAACCTCACAATACATGATCTGTTCTTTCTCATTAGCCTCCCCTAGTCTGTAAGAAGGAGCTCTGGGGTATAGCGTTAGTGGGTTGATGTGTTGGGTTGTTAACTGCAAGGTCAGCAGTTCAAAACCAGGAGCGGCTGGTGGTAACGAACTGCTTCCGCTGCTGTTAGCAGCCCACCCATAACCCTCTATGCCACCAGGGCTCCCTTAGTCCAGTCCAGTGTTCTCTCATGTTTGGTGTAAGGGATATGCATTTGGGTCATGTCAAGGCTTCGGGGTGCTGGTTGGCCTTAACGCTGCTGGGTTTCCTTGTCGAAGGGGGTGCCTGCCCCTTTCTCAGCTGTGAAAGATTGGGGATAGACTTAGAGACTCTACTTCTATTTCCAGGTGCTGATTAATGTGGTGATGCTTTTGGCTGAGATGAAGTTACAGAAACGTGCTGCTCCCTCCTTAGCAATGATTTTGGTTAACAGTTTCCAGTTCCTGTATGTGGTGGATGCTCTTTGGTTTGAGGTAACTAATTTTAAGCAGCGAGGCTTTGAATGGGGGTGAGTGACCTGGTCCATACCTGCTGAGGGTAAAAGCGTCGCCAGGGCGGGTCTGAGGATTCAATAAGACCCTCCATGGAAGGCATCTGGCTGACAAAATAAGCACTGAGAAACGGGCATGGGACTGTTTTATTTTAGACATTTGAGGATCCTTCCATCTCTTCTAGTTCTTCTTTCTGATATTGCCGATCTAAGATAAGGGGATATTCATTTTTGGTTCTGTGGCGGTGGCCGATTCATGATAAGTACACTTCAGTGTCTAAGTTACTAGAGTATGTGAAACTGGGTTGGGATCAGACTAGGAGGTGCTTTTAGATGTTAGGAGGCAGCTAGTTCCTAAATAAATTTGTGTTTCAAAGTACAAAGAGCGCTGATGAAATAGATGGCTATAAAATCAGAAATCATATGTTGAGCAAGTTAACATAAATAAAGCTAAGTTCCCAGAAAACTTGTGGTTTTTCTCATACATTGATAAATCATCACTAACTTCAAAGCTGCTAAGTACTTTGCTGGTCGTTTCTGGTTGAACTAAACTTATGATGATGATTATTTTAACTCATTTTTAAGTCTATTTTACAACTATCTTATCATATATATTGTTTACTAGCTTCAAATTTCAAGAGGCATTTTCTTTCAGTTCTAAAAAGCAAAATTGACCACCCTACACAAACTTGTTATACCAGTTCCCCTGACAGGCTGTTGACATTTTGGGGGAAGATTCCTTTCCTTAGAGTCTGAGACACTTAAAAAACAAAGAAACGCTTCACTGCCAGTCACCCCTCCCCCGCTGCCTTTGCTGTGGGTCTGATGTGCAGTGCTGTACAGAATATTCAGCTTAGATTGCATGGATTTTTCCATGATCTTTCTTTTCTTTGGAAGGATTGGGATCTCTTTGAGGCAAACAAATTCCAATGACAAGTAAATGGACAAACACTATCCTGTCACTTAGCGTTGACTTCAAGGCTTTGGAAACTCTGGAGATGGAGGAGTAGCTGATACTCAAGTCCTTTAGAGATTTTCCAAGGTCTGTCCCGTGTTAAGGAGCCTGGTCAGCAGTTTGAAACCACCAGCTGGTCTGCGGGAGAAAGAGGTTGCAGTCTCAGACACTCACAGGGGCAGTTCTACCGGATCCTTAGTTCTACCCTGTTGCCATGAGTTGGAATCAACTCAATGGCAGTGAGTTTAGTTTTGAAGTTTTAAACTTTCTAGTAGCATCTCAATGTCTTTTTCTTAATAGTTTCCTTCTAGCTTTTTGTCATGTAGCAAAAGTACATTTTTAATTGGTTTTCAAGTTAATATCTTTCTGTAGACTTAGCAAAACACTGCCTTAATAATTAAAAGAAAAGTCTGCACATCTCAAACGCTTAAGACAATATTAGCGTAGCCCCAGGAGTACAGGACTGGCGACAGCCAGATGGTGCTGTGCTTCCAGAGGAATTGACTTGATTGTATCCGACACATCATTGGGCAATTAATTAGCATATGCTTAGTATGTCTCTGCTGAGGTAGGATGGCAGAAATTCCCTTAAGGAAACCGAGACTAGTAAAAGAAATATCCAGGACTCTTCTTTAGTTGCACCTCTGACCCTTGTCCTGTCCTGTGAATGCCCCAGCACATCTGGTGGGCAGGACATAACGCCCATAGGCCTTTTCACTTATCTCCTACCTGCCTTCCTCTGCTCTCGCCTTTGTGTCCCCTGATCCTATTTTAAGCTCAGGTGGGTTTGAACTGCAAATGCCATGGTTAGCAGCCCAGTGCTTACCCACTGTACCACTGGAACATGCATTACAATCGGTAAGTGTTGGGCACATAACCACAGGCTTGGTGGTTGAAACCCACCAGCTGCTGCTTGGGAAAAAGTTGAGGCCCACCTCTGCTGTAAATACGTGTGCTTTTGGAACCCCCAGGTGTCTGAGGGCCGCTGTGAGTGAGAAGCGACGCGGTGGTGGGAGTGGTTGTGGAGATCCTGCTTTGGTTCAGGGAATCAGGTCCTGGGTTTGATGTGAGTAGGAAATGGGTACTTGGTCTAGGAAGGGTCTAGCGACGCGGTGGTGGGAGTGGTTGTGGAGATCCTGCTTTGGTTCAGGGAATCAGGTCCTGGGTTTGATGTGAGTAGGAAATGGGTACTTGGTCTAGGAAGGGTCTAGAGTTGGTGGTCTCAGTTTTTCTGTTCCATAGTATTTTGGGGGGAAAAATAAAACTGGTCTTTTAGTAGTTTAGGTTAGTACTCATTTTCTTTGTGTAGAATTTTCTGTAATTCTTCTGCGGAAATTATACTACATTGATTTTCATACATCAGTGGTATGGACTGCAGTTGGAAGAAGCTTAGGGACTATCTCAGGCCAGACCTCCCGAGTCCCCCAATGGCAGCTCTGAGGCTCAGGGCCCTGGCCCGTGCCACCAGATCCAAGAGCGTGACACACTTTTCGTTAGGTTACCCTGGCAGGGGAGCAGTGAGTTCACCATGCGCCTGGGCAACTGACTTTTCTTCTGTGGGCAGTTTGTATGGAAAGCAAGTGATGATCAGAAACGAGGTGGGTGGCCATGGACTTGAAACAAAGGGACCCTGGTTTTCCTTCAGCACACAGTGTTTGAGCACTCAGTGTGCCAGGTGTGGGGTGAGATGGGGAGAGTCCTTGGCCCTGTCTTTTAGAGGCTTGTAGTGTAGTGGAGAGCGGGACATCAGTTCCAGGACATCACCCCGAGCAGCTGAGAAGTGCCTCTGACTGGGCAGGGAGGCTGGTGACGCAGGCAGAGAGCAGCCCAGGAGAGAAGGCGAGAGGGTGGGCTGAGGTGAATGTCATGTCAGGAGCATCAGATCCCTTCTGATGGTTTCGGTTTTGTTTAGTTTACCCTCCCTTAGCCCGGTCTTGTTGGCTGAACCTGCGCTAATACTTCCTAGACAGGTTATTCCCCACAAACCATTCCTTTCCTTCCAGGAAGCGGTATTGACAACCATGGACATTATCCATGATGGATTCGGCTTCATGCTGGCTTTTGGAGACTTGGTGTGGGTTCCGTTTATCTACAGCTTCCAAGCCTTTTACTTAGTCAGTCATCCAAATGAAGTGTCGTGGCCAGTGGCTTCTGTCATCGTGGCTCTGAAACGTGAGTATGAATTCCAGCCTCTGCAGATGCTGGGCCTAGTTTGTGTGCTGATCTCTATATATTTCTTTATAACACCTCCCCAGCTGGCCATGGGAAGCTCGAGGGAAGTAATTTGAGGTGGACCAGTAACAATAAGGTTCGATAAGGTCCCGTCACAAAAATGAATGCTTCATGTTTTGCTTCTTACGCAGCTCTCTAATTTTTAATAAGTGAAAAATTAAATGTCTCAGTATCCATTGAACTGGTCGAGAAAGTGTCTGCTTCCTGGTAGGCACCCTAGAAAATAGGCAGGTTGGTCTTGCCTTCAAATGCTTGCACTCAAATACTTGTGTGGTGCCATGAATAAGCACCGGGAGAGGGGCCGGCGGGCAAAGATGATGGAGCTGCAGGCAGAGGGAGAACCTGTGTCCGGAGTATCTGTGTTACATTTGATGAGGGAGGCGGTATTTGAGCTGCGCCTAGGATTTCAGGAGTAAAAACGGGCAGGGGAAATGTTGCATCTGGCCCCGGGACCCTTTAGAGTAGGGTGGTGGGTTGGCCAGTGGGAGGGGTTGTGGGAACAGGGAGGAGTAGGGTTTGCCAGGTGCCAAGGCCACACGGCCAGTAGAGGATCCGCCGCAGGATGGTGTTCCTCTGATTGCACTGTAGACTCAGCAGCTCTGCCTGAGGGTAGGGAAGGGGGAACCCCAAGACAGCTAGGTCTGCCACCCTCCTAGTGTCTGCATTCGAAGGCTGTGGGTTAAAAAGATTTCATTTCATCACTGGTTGGGTGTCCCAGTTGGTCATGCCCTCCCTGTGTGTTGCTGAAGACGGCATCTTTATGTTTTACTGTGAAGCAGAAACAAGTTTTTGCGATTTTTTTGGAGGGCTTGTAATAGTAGTGGTTCCTCGGCAACAGTATGTGGGGGCCTGTTAATTTGAAATTTGAATACAGTTAGCAACGTGTGTGGTTGCAAATGGGCCTCAGCAGGTATTTGTGTGCAAGATGTTCTGTTACATCTCAGGTACTGCTTTATTATAAAGTGTTCACGTGTAGCTAATCCTGTAATTGTCTCAGATTTTATTTCCCGATGTTAGTTGTATTTGTTAGTTTTGCCTTCAAAGATTTCCCTAGGGTGGGTACTGAAATTAGTATGATAGTAAAATTTCAGAATGGTTAGCACCTTTTGAGATTCTGAGGGTTTTTGAATGTATTGGAAATTAGGCTATCCTTTGCTTTGGAAAATTTCCTCAAAACACAGAAATAATCTGGAAGCAAAAATACAGGTTTCTCTATAATTATGCTAATATTAGATTCTATCTAAGTTATTAACTTATAAACTTTTGTAAAAATTACAGTTTGTGGATATGTAATTTTCCGATGTGCAAATTCTCAGAAAAACGCATTCCGAAAAAATCCCAAGGATCCAAGGCTTGCACGTAAGCATTGATTTCTTCTTTTTCTTTGTTTAAATTCTATTTGTATTGTTTATAACATATAGTTTCTCTTTTGAGACATCCTTAAAAATGCTGCTTCTTTGTTTTAAATATAGATTTAAAAACTATTCACACGTCAACGGGAAAAGATCTTCTAGTCTCTGGTTGGTGGGGCTTCGTTCGCCACCCCAATTACTTGGGCGACCTCATCATGGCCCTGGCCTGGTCTCTCCCATGTGGTAAGCATCGAAAAGGTGTGAATGTGACGTTTCCCTCAGACGCAGGTCTCCGCTGCTGTGTCCTGGTGTCTGTCTCCCTGGCCTCCCTGGGCGGCCTCCCTCGGGGCTGCTGTGGGTGCCACCGTGCTGCTGTCTGCACAGCACCTGTTCATCCTGCTGCTGGGGGCAGTGAAGAGCTCACACAGGCGGGCAGCTTTCTTGGAAGCAGCGTGTATGGAAATGTAGGGTTTTTTTGTACTTGATTCGGTGTCTACCTGGTATAGATTGTGGAAAACTTTGGTTCTTAAGAAAAGAAAACTGCTCTTTTTTGGGTACCAACCTTGAAAGGTACCAGGTAGTTGAGCCCAGAGTCCCCTGCTGTACCCGCCTCAGCCGTGTCCTGTGGCGGACCTCCCTCTTCCCTGAGGCAGGGGGGCAGGAGAAGGAGGAGAGAGACGTGAGTCACAGGTTGCGACGGATGGATTGTTAGACTGGATTCATTAGTCCTCTGACGCTCCCTTCTGCCGCACACACACAGTGGGATTCTTCTGTGATCCAGAGTAGATGTCTTCGTCATCATTGCAGAACATGAAGGCACTGTAATGTTCATCTTTGCAGGGAAAACAAGACTGGGTGATAATGAAAATCTCTTACTATTATTTCCCACAGGTTTTAATCACATTTTGCCATATTTCTACGTGATTTACTTCACCATGTTACTCATCCACCGAGAGGCTCGAGATGAGCACCACTGTAAGAAGAAGTACGGCGTGGCCTGGGAAAAGTACTGTCAGCGGGTGCCCTACCGTATCCTCCCCTACGTTTACTGATGTGTGCCCAGCGTCTTCTAGAACTGCCTCTGAGGCCCCAGCTACCATTTGCAAAAACAAACAGAAGAAACCAATCTCAGATGAACTTTGTTTCATTGCACTGACAGAATCTGCACGCTTTCTTTGAATCTGGGGTGGGGGACAGAGAGCCAGGTAATAATTAAGTATTTACTTTAGTGATGATAACTTTTATGATAACAATGACCATTGAGGAAAGTTTTATCTTAGTAGGGAATTTTCAGTGCCCCAAATTCTGAAACCAGAAGATAGTTTAGTTGTCTTACAAATGAACTGAATTAGATTTGGTTTTTCTTAAAGGAAGAAACACTGTTAGATATTATAAAAATGAATTTACATTTTTATTTCAGTAAGAGAGTAGAATTGTATTTTCTTTCCTCTTTAATTAGATAATTTAAAAGTGAAAACTGGCCCTTTGTTAAATACTAGCTGTGAAGAGGGACGAGAGGTTTAATGGAGACCATTTGTAGCAGTTGATTTAACCTCAGCTTCTAAAATTGCTTTTAAAAATGTAAATACACAGTTTACTTTTATGTAATATATAGTAACTTCTGATTTTTCTGTACAGTATTTTTAAATGTGAGATAATTGTTTCTTGTAACAAAAACATTTGCAGTATTTTAAGTTTTGTAAAGTAACAGTTTTGAGTTAAAATTTTTGGAACAATTAGAATTCATTTAATAGTATTGTATAGAAGATGCTATTAAAACATAGATTTTTCTTAATCCAAAGTTGGTGAATTTGGCTTTGCTACCTCAATTGCAGGTGTTTGTTTGCCTTTATAAACTATTGCAAATAAAAAAAATAAATATATATTTTTGGAGCAGCATCACTATTTAAACATTTTTTACACATAATGGGGTTTGAAAATCTGCCATTTCAGGCTAATATTTTTGTATGCCTTTGACTTTTTAAATGAAACATGTTTTTGCTACTGTTTAGTTCATGCAGTTCATACTGTATTTTGTATATCCTTTATATTTACAAACCTCTTTTTGTAAAGGAGTGTTGTATTCAGCTTTAATAATCTGTTCATCTAAAAATGACCAAGGGAATAAAATACTTTCTTTTAGTTCGACAGCTGTGCATTTAAGGTAGTTTTAGCTAGTAAGGTCTAGTTATTGTTAATTGTAAATTTTGTATTAAATGTGATATTGTTTTCAGTTTTTTAAACATTGGGGATAAAATAGTGTATGTTTGGGTTTGAATGAGCCACTTAGAGACACAGCAGTGTTTATCCTGCTGTGATCGGAAGACTGTACCGCAGCTCGTGCTACTGTGATCATGAAGTTGGTTTGCGCAGTCGATCTGTAGCCTCAGCTTTTCAGCAGCCTGTCTGGGTGACGTTGCCAGTGTTTTGTCTGCACGGGTGTCCTGGCGTCACAAAGCACTCCATTCACCAAGGAAGCCCCGGGAAAGGAATGATGTTCCTTTTCCTCTCAGCCACCTACAATTTGTGGATGGTGTTGGCTACCATTTTGTTTTTAATTGTGTTTGGACATGTTTATTTGAAACGTAGTTTTATAATGAAGCTTGGAGTTTGAAATAAAGCAACAATAAAAAGATGTCGCCTTCATGCTTTGTGCTTGTTACTCCTGCTCAAACTCCCTGAGGGCATGGAGACCACGGGAGGAACCCTGACCTCACACCCTGTGTTCAAGAATCATTTGTTCATGACAGCAGCTGCTAGGAAACATGCAAGAAGACTTCAGCTCGGCCTCGTTTTTTAAATGAGGTGGCCACATGTGTATATTTGATTGTTTCTAACCGCAGGAAGCAGACGTTCCTACCCCTTTACTATCTTACCCCTTTAATATGGTGCCCAAGTACTGTGGTTTTTGTTTTTAGAAAGCCCCAGGTTATGCTGACCTGTATGAACCTGACTTAGGGCAGAAACAGAAAATCAGCTGGAAGATTCCCTCACATGCTGGATGTGCAAGAGCCTACAGTGACGGAGCATGCAAACATTTTATGAAGGATGTTTATTACATGCCAGTGCTCACAACATGCAAATTTGATGAGAGCCAAGGAATGCTGGTGCTGAGGTTTAATTTTCATTCTTTCATCTCACATAGCAGTGCAACCCGAATTTTGATCCAGTGACTAGGAGGTTTCTGCGTTGGTAAGCACACTGATGTTAGAAAGCTTGTGGGTAAACTGGAAGGGGACGACATTCTTGATCTTTGCGGTGTCTGGTAAATGGGGCATTCAAAGGTGTAGACTCCCGAGTCAGTCTGGTTAGAAGCCTTTGGATTTTCAGTAGAAATCTTAAAAAGCAACAAAAACACACCACCACTTAATACAGACATACTGCTCATTTGTGCTCAATTTTGGGGGGGTGTTTGTTACAGACAATATATTAAGAATTAGGTGGCTGATGTAACAGTATATGAAAATTATGTCTAGAAAATTTAAAAGTAACTACCAAGACATGCTCTTGAGAAATAGGATATTGGTACAGGATCTATTGTGGACTGTTTTAAATATAGTTTAAAATATATAAATTAGTTTAAGTATCATCAGATTTCTCTTGTGAACTCATAGGAAAAGGGAAAGGAATGTATGGAGAGAAAGTTGAGATTAGGACTGAGTTATACATAACTGAGACGTTTGCTTACTTTGGTTGGCAAAAAATAGATATCAGGAAAATCGCAACACATTTCAAGAGGCAGTGAGTCATCCAGTATTTTTTGTTCATGATTCCATCTTGCTCCATCGATGAACAAACCAAAAATGTGGACTCCAGCCTGTGATGGGTCCGTGCCCTAAGGTGGAAAATGGGAGTGTGAGTGGTTCGCTAGATAAGTTACTTTAGTAGTGAGCCTAGCAGGGGCTCCGTTCAGAGAAGCACAGAGTCAGGGCACCTCTTATCCTGGGGCCATCCCAGACCAAGGCCATGCCAGGGCCCCTACGTGAACAAATCTTTCCCTCCTCTGAGCACTTAAGTACATTTGTAGCCTATGGTGTTCCGAGTTGACAGTCAAGTCCCCAATTCCTAAAAAGTCATTAATTAAGTAGCTCAGCTTTTTAGAAGCAAGTGAAGAGTCACAAAAGGGGTCAGAATGTGCTCCAACTTTGTTACCAGTTACTTCTGCCACTGCAGTTAGTCGAGTAGTCCGAGCTGTGAATGGATGGGTTAAGTATGGTGTCCATCTTGGAAGACTCCAGCTGTGCCTAGGGAGGACCATGCTGTCCTGCAGGTGCCCTGTAGTGATGCCCATGCCAGCAAGCTCAGTGGGTAAAGCTGTGTGTGGGCTTATTCTAGGAAAGCCTTCCTGAGGACTGCTTTGCCTCCTGACTTCTCGTCCTCTAATTTTTATGTAATGTCCAAGTTCCATTTATTGCATTTGCTCCAGCATTGCCCTTTCATTCCAGTCTCGGAAGAAGTTGATCTAACACATTGGGAAGTGTGACTTCCATTTATTTATACTTGTGTACTTGGCCATGGCGCCCAAGAGTCTTTCCTCTGGAAAACTCAGACTGCGGGGAGTCTAGTCTGTAAGCAGCCCACAGTCGAGTGCTTTGGGCCTCCCAAGAGCCACTCAGACAAATGGAAACATCACTTCACTTCATGCAAAGCTGGGGCTTGGTGTGGTGGAGAAAGAAATGGAAGCATGGGACATTTGACTAGATTATGGACACTTGCAAGAGACAAGGCAGGGTACTCTCCTTCGTCTGCGAGGCGTAGGAAAGGCTGCCACCCTTTCTATGTCAAATACACTATGCAGGAGGAACTTCGGAAATGAGCTGCAGAGTCACCAAACGTGGGTTCGAGTGGTCTGATCTGAGCTGCTCACACCAAGCGAAGGACTCCAGGATTGAATGAGAAAGTCTGGCGCAGGCCACTTAACCTCTGATTTCACTCTCCTGATCGACAGTGGAAAATAATATTTGAGGACTAAATAATGCATGTAAAGAACTCACTAGATGGTAGTATGTTATAAACACTCATTAGATGTCGGCTATTCAGCATCAATGCCATCATTAATCGATAGATTGAACTTCTGGAGTTGGAGTCATATTCCTTATACCTGAGGCCCACATAGTTCTGGGCACATTCAATTACAACAAAACAATAATTGAATAAATCTTAGGAACATCTGAAATCATCTAGTCCGAACACCTATGTTATGCTGAGCTTTGTTCCACGCTAGCATCCTTGCCAGTGGGGTCATCTAATTTTCTCTAAACCTCTGTATAAGGCATTCTATCATCACTCTCAATTCAGATCTCGTGGTTGCCGATAGGAACAAAAATAGAACCACCGTCTAGTTCTTCATGTGCTACTCCTTTCAATGTCTGCTTTTTGCCTCCCCTCAAAGTCTGACCTCTAGAATGGATCCTTCCAATGCCATCATTCTTCAGTCATGGTTTCAGCCCTCAACCGTCCTGCATGAGCTCTGAGTCCCCCATCGCCAGCCAAATGTGGCGTGGCTGAAACGCAAAGGCTGATGATGTTGGCAGTTGGCAAGGGTGTGAAGTTATCTCTCTTACATTGTAAATACACACACACAGAGGCATGCATATATGTATGCACATATATGTAGAACACAGTTGGCCATTTCAACATCACTCACATTACAAGTCAGTGAGAATAATTGTCTCAATCATGTTGTACAACCTCCTCCAAAACCCGTTGCCAAATTTCTACCATCACAAACAATGCTGCCTGAGTAATGACCCCTCTGGGAACAATCTCATACATGACTGCGGGTGTGCCAATTGGTAGAAACACACTGAAACAACATGTGGCTAGACAACTCCCAAACTAGCCCATTGCTGTAGAATTGACAAGATTCATGGTGACCAGTGTAAAACTGCTCTATAGGACTTTCAAGGGCTGATGTTTGGGGAAGTAGATCACTCAGCCTTTCTTCCAAGGTGTCTATGAATGGACTTGAACAGCCAACCTCTCAGTTAGCAGCAAGCATGGCTTACTACTAAGCCAGGTGGCCCAGTAGTGGAATTCGTAGCTTCTCTGTGGGAAATGTGGGCTCAGTTCCTAACCCAAGCACCTCCCTGCACAGCTCCCACCCTCGCTTAGTGGAGGCTTGCGTGCTCCTATGATCCTGAACAGATTTCAGCAAACCGACCAGACTTTCATTCATGGTAGAGGAGAGCTATAGTGTAACATCCATCTATTCTGTTGCTCGAATAGTAATTCAATTTATTTAATCATTGTTCCTCTTTAGAAAAGGGTGAGAGCAATGAGCTGTGACGGCACTTGGACTTGTTTCCCCTATGTGTACCTGGCACGTGGCCAGTGCTGGATGGAGGTTCATTGAGGGAAGGAATGAAGGACTGACTGCTCTGTCCAGTTGTAAGTACTCCATTACCTTGAAGGCTCTTCTAACCATGTTGAGCTTCTTCTGGATTATTATGGAGAACTCCTCCTCCTCCGTGTGGGTGGAGTCGGAAATCACGTGGTGGGTAAACTTGAGGGCGTCTGTGGAGATTCCATGGCATCTTCCGTAGTCTTGAAGCACAGCAGTGAGAAAGCCTTCAGAGAAAAGCACACAGCAGGTCCTATGAGCTGGAGCATTCCCGTGAGATCATGCCCTGCGGTCTCCAGGGGAAGAGACGTGGGGATGGGGGGGAGCAGGGAAGAGTGGAGGAGGAAGAGAGTCAGGAAAGGGAAGAAGGGGGTGGAGATATGTGTGAGGTTGGACCAGGTGGAAGAAAGGCTTGTCCCCCCGAGGTTGGGCTTTGGTGAGAGGAGTTTAGCTGGCTGCAGGAACTGTGTGACTGTGGGTTATTTTTGGTGGGTCAGCACCCCTTTCCTTTCTTCCTTTGGGTACACAAACAACCAAACTCACTGCTGGCTCAGAGGGACCCGTAGAACAAGATAAAACCACCCCTGTGAGTTTTCCAGACTAACTTTTTACAGGAGTAGAAAGCCCCATCTTTCTCCTTCTTGGTGGCCGTTAGTTTTGAACTGCTGACCTTGGGGATCTCAGCCCAATGGATAACCACCACACCATCAGGGTTCCTTCCTTTGGACACAGAGGGGCTACACATCCTAGGGCTCTATCTTTTACCCAGTGTTGGCTGATGATCATTCCTCATTCTCTTAGCAATGATGATGGTACTAGAAGTATGAATGAGTACCAGGTGCAAATGGGGCAGTCAGAATCTTTCTCAAGAAATGAAATACTGATATCTGGAGAAAACAGGCGAAGCTGTCCGGGACCATTGTCCTCCCTGGCTGCATGTGCAGCATAGAGAAATGAGCGAAGGCACAGTGAGACGCAGAGTTGAGATATGAAGAGGCAGGTTGAGGGTCATATAGATTTGTGCACCTGAGGCCAGCCATGTCTGAAGCTATAATCCCTGCTTTTCTTTCTATAAGAAGCTCTAAGGACACCTAGTGGAACTATGGGTCAGACATTGTGCAGCTAATCTCAAGGTTGGCAGTTCAAACTTATTAGCTGCTTTGAGACAGAAAGATGAGGCTGTCTCCTCCCACAAAGATTTACAGTCTTAGAAAGCCTATAGAGGGTTGCTATGAGTTAGAATCAACTTGATGGCAGTGGGTTTATTTACATAAGCCTATAAACTTGCCTTGTTTTGCATAAGCAAATTTGGATCACATTTCTGTATCATACCTGGTGTTAGTTGCCATCAGGTTGACTCCAACTCATGGTGACAGAAGACTTGTCTAGTCTTGGGCCATTGCCACATTCTTTGACATGTTCCAGCCCACTGTTGAGGTTACTGTGTCAACCCAGCGCCTTGAGGGTTTTCTTCGTTTCTGTTGACCACTTCCCCAGCATGACAGTCTTGTCTGAAGATGAGTCCAAAGTAAGCAAGATGAAGCCTTTCCTTCCTTGCTTCAGAACGCTTCCGGCATTCTGACTGTGTTTCTTCTACTGCCGAGCTGTTCGTTTTCCTGGGAGTCTAGAGTATATGCAACATTCTTCATCAGCACCACAGTTTAGGTGCATCTTCTCTCCTTCTTGCCTGGCCTTCTTCTGACTCAGAGGTGACTGCAAAGGCGATGGGCTGGGTGCACCCTCTTCAGCAAAGTGATATCTGCGCTTTTGGGAACGGAAATCACCTTTTGTAGCAGATTTGCCCAACATTGCAGCCAGCGCCCTCCTTGTTGTTGAATGAAATCCTTGACAGCATTTCTCCATTCATTACGACAATGTGTATCGGTCCAGCTGTGAAGCTGCAGTCAGTATACCAATCCACCTCCATGGGCGGGCTGGTGTGGGGGGGATGTCTTCCTCTTTCACTCATCTTCCACTTCACCAAGCACGGTGTCTTTTTCTTTTGTTAACAAAAGTTTTGTTGGCATTTCATCCACATATCATCCAATTCAATAGTTCAGCCATATCAAGAAGAGTTGTACAATCTTTAACACAATTGTTTTTAGAGTATTTTCTTTTTCTCTGTCCTCATTGTTATTCATGTTTTTTTTTTCAATTTTGGCAAAAAAATATACACAAAACAGTCTCCAATTCAACAATTCAGTATATTCTATGTGTATAATTCAGTGCCATTGATTATGCTCTTGGCACTGTGCAACCGATATTGATGCCCCTTTCCAGCTTGTTCCCCCACCATTGAAATGAACTCAATGCCCCTTTGGCGAAAGGTCTTCCCCCTTCACCCATGGCAACAATGGGTCAAATTTGCTTTCTTTTTGTTTTGGTAGTTTTCTTGATATTCACATATTCACTTTCACATGTAAACTGATTCTAAAAAGAGTTGTATATACATCATCACAATCAGTTCTACTATTCCTTCCCTCCTCCCACATCCATTGATTGCTTCCCAATTCTCCTTCCCGCCCAATTCCTGATGAACCATCACATCAGTTATTGTCTCTATGCATCCACTTCTTCTGTGCTTCATAAATGGGAAGACCTAACTGAAACTAAAAACTCAAAATGAAACAGAAAGAAAACAATAATACCAATAAAAAGATAAAAATAAAAATATAGTAAGAAAGAAAAGACTACCAACAATACTTACAAACCAGAGAAGAAATTTCTTTCTAGGAATAATCGAGAAATATTTCAGCATAGAGCAAATTCAAGTTGGGTCAAGGGAGAGGTCAGTTTACAATAATCTCTTTCTGATAGTCAAGCTGTTTGGAGTCCTTTGCCTGTGTCTCGAGAGGATCTGCCAGAGGCCCAGTCCATCTGCAGATGGCGTTCCGGTTCCCCGTGTCCTCCACAGCCTACGACTACCGTTTAAGCTCCGATACTTGCCCTTCCTCATTCATGGATTTCGTTATTGTCATCTTTGGATCACCCACGTTGGTGTGCTGTAAGACCCCAGACACTATTCCAGTCGATAGCCTGGCACCATCTGCTTTCTTCATGGCGTCTTTCCCAGCGACTGACTCCTCCTGATTATAGGCCAGAGTGAATGAGAGGCGCGCACGCTCACTTCTGAGAATATTGTAGCTGTATTGCTTCCAGGACAGTTTTGATCATTTTTCGGGCAGTCAGTGGGATACGTTCAATATTATTTGTCAACACCATAATTCAAGTGAATCAATTTTCCTCCATTCTTTCTTATTGCATTGTTGTGGAGGCAAAATCAGTCCCCATCTGCCACAAATCAGGCCTTTTTTGGTTGCACCCTGTTATGCGATCTCTTCAGAATCTCTAAATAGAAAGCTCTAAATAACAGTCTGACCTGATGGAATGAACTCCAAATGCACTATCCCCCTCACATCAAAAAACAAATGAGCATCATCTTGATCTTTGATGAGCATTTTGGGGTGGGGTGATGATGGCGTCTTCCACTGGCCTGATTGACATTTGCTTTTGGGGTCAGAAGAAAAACACCATGTCTTGTTACCAGTGATGACCTTGGATAAAAAGTCTGGGTCACTTTGGAGCGGTTCTTTCAAGGCACGGCACATTTCCACTCAATGCTTTTTCCTGGTCAGACCCTGAGGCACACTCTTTGCAGGGGCCCTTCTCATTCCCAAATCTTCCATTCCAATTCGCTGAACGGAGCTCCAAGACAGTCCCGATAACTTCCCCAGCTCGCCAATGGTCCATCATTGGTCTTCGAGCACAAGTGGATGAATTTGTCGACATTTTCCTCCATTCAGGAAGTTGATGGACATCCAGAATGAGGTTTGTCATCAATCGACATTTTTGAAATGAGAAAACCACTCATACACTTCAGTTTTTCCCACAGTGCTGTCCTTGTAAGCTGTGTTCAACATCACAATAGTTTCTGTGGCATTTTTCCAGAGCAGGAAACAAAATTTCACAGCTGCACACTGTTCTCTTAAATTGGCCATCACAAAAAAACGAGATTCGAGTGAAACTGCTTTTATGAAAAAATTCACGGTGACCAACGAGAACCTTCTTAGGCAATGCCACTGGGTGCACTAACTCAGAGCGAGTTGCTCGGTGTTTGCTTAAGCAGCGGTTCTCAACCTGTGGGTTGCAACCCATTTGGGGTTGAACAACCCTTTCACAGGGGTTGCCCAATTCATAACAGTAGCAAAATTACAGTTATGAAGTAGCAACGAAAATAATTTTATGGTTGGGGGGGTCACCACAACATGAGGAACTCTATGAAAGGGCACAGCATTTGGAAGGTTGAGAACCACTGGCTTAGTGGGAAACATTCGTAGTACGAAAGTTCTGCCCAGTGGAGCTTTTCCTTTTTTTGGGTGGGGGGAGGTACCCCTTGTACAGTCAATGGTTTAGAGATGAGCAAGTGAACCACCTGCCAAGGTGCAGGTAGAAGGTGACCAGGATGGGTCTATTTTGGTTCCTGAAGAGGTGAGGATGAAGGAGGAGGTGAGTGGGCTGGGGCAGTGCATCATGAAGCCCTAGTCCATGAGTGACCTAGGAGGGGACACAAGTGTCATCCCCTGGGTCTCTTCTAAAGTGGAGCAAAGGGAGGGTGTGGTAGAAGAACCCATTACACACTTACCTGGGTCAGGTGTGAGGTTGATCCTATCCTAAAGCTCACCTTTTGGGAAGAAGAAGGCTGGGAGCCAGTATTTTGCCGGAAATCCTTCAAAGAAATCATCTTGAGCAAGGTCTTGGACTTGTTCATTAGCTGATGGACTATATTGCTTCCAAGCTGTGACAAATCTCATATACCTATTTGAAAAGCAGACCACCGGTTGGAGTATACTAACTGTAGCCCTGCAGATGATCTGCCCGATCCCCGTTAGTGTCTTCTACTCTCCCTCATTCCCCGTTTTCCTCAAGCTCGCTCTCAATTCAGGACCTCTGGTTTTCCTTTAATGGAAACCAGTCCTGGCTTTGAAGCCTGTGAAGGAAGACAGGATGTCACAAATCACAGGGACAGAACCCCAACTTCAACAATTAGATACAACGACGCCTCACTTTCTTTGATATCTTCCCCGCTAGCATTCTTGATGGAAAATAACGGGGAAGGAAATGTACTTGGTCCTAGACAAACAAATCTCTGTCACTTAGAGAGGCCATGGATGGGACTGTGTATCTGTCAGGTCTCCATTCCTTCATCCTGAACTGAAAACAAAGAGCCCCTCCCTTGATTTACTAACATGTTAGCGTGAGAAAACAAGCGGTCGTAAACTACGAAGCTCTACACAAATACAGGAGGAAATAGAAAGCAGCTTCCATACACACCGTCGATTTATCGCAGTGCAAGCTATTTTAGCCCACGTATTGAAGAAATTCAATCGCTGGATGAGATCATTAACCCAGGAACTCAGGGGCTTACATGACTTGTAGGACGATTTCTGGTGGGATGCAGAAACAAACACATCATGTTCTTAGATTTGTCTTTGGGACCAGTAGGACCAAATCAGAACCTTTTGGTAACAGACTCAATGTATAGGGAGAAATATCTTGGTGTGGTAGGCACCTAGTTTGGTGTCAATTTAAGGATTAAGAGTGTAGGGGTGGAGTCTAGGCTGTCAATCTGGAGATAGCCAATGAGACTTCTGTGGGCATGGCTTTCTCCTGAGAATTCTGGTACTTCCACCTTGGAGGCGGAAGACACCTCTCTCTCTTTCTGCTACTCCCTGGGAGACATTGCAGAAAACAAGCCACATGGACACAACCAGACCTCAGAAGCCGGAGAAGCCACAGAGAGACCCCTGCCAGTGCTGAGATGTTTCCAATGGCACTGGATCCAGAGACTTTCTACCCACTGGCCTGTGATCTTCCTGCATATCGGCATCATTGCATGTGTTTCGTGAGTCCAAAGAGGACTTTATAGATTGATATCGGAAATATGGGCTAATATTGGACTTAAGGACTTGATCTGGACCGGGCTGGGATGTTTTCTCAATGTTCAATTGCTCTTGTATATAAATCTCTTTCTTACACACATATGTGTGACCATGGGTTTGTTTCTCTAGTCTCCCCAGACTGACACACTTGGCCAGAGGATGTCATTTTCCAAATGAAAGTACGACATGTGAAACCCCAAAATTATTACCGAAGTAAAACCGGTTTGGAAAAAGCATTGGGAAGTTTTCATCTTGGCTGGTGATTTTCATTACTTTTCTGGAATCTTTTAATATATACTCCTCCTCAACGGCCCTCTACCCACTGGAGGACTATGCTGGACTTCACCCACTGGAGGACTCCACCCACTATGTTGGACTTCACTGACCTGAGCAAACTGCAAAGGCTCAGCCATCCCTCTAACCCTTTTGTGGCCCCGCTGACAAGGAAATGTAATGTTTTTATTGTAAATTAGGTAAAGGCTTACAGTCAATAATTCATACATATTTGGTCTTGACTTATACATTGCAACCCCCTCACTTCCTCCGTTTCCTGTGTCCGTATGACTTACACGAGACTCAGTGATGCCCCTTGTTTACCTGTGACAAGGCCAGACATAGATTCTTTAAATTGCCCTTCATTGCTTAATAAATGATGAGCGGAATTGCTTGATTGTAGTGATCAATCAGAACAAAACGCTTCTTAATCAAACCTTGATCAGTTTGCTCTCCTCCTTGGGCCCTGAACTTCGGCCAGCTCTGAGCATATTACCCCTGCTTAAGAAACCTCCCAGCAGAATAGGATGGCCTTGGGGTAAACACTCTCTGATCTGCTAAGTGACTCAGTCACCCCACTTCCCTATACTTTCCTGGCTCTTTCTAGCCTTGTTCACTCCTCTCTATAAAAGAACACCGGGTCCCAGGTGGCGTAGTGCTTGTGTGTTGAGCTGCTGACTGACAAGTCAGTAGTTCAAAGCCACTAGCTGCTCTCCAGGAGAAAGACAAGGCTTTCGCTCTCATGAAGTGTTGCAGGCTCGGGAACCCGCGGGGGCAGTTCTACCCTGTCCTATAGGGTCACTAGGAATTGGAATGGACTCAAAGCAGTGAGTTCTTTATAAAAGAAAACCCAATTTTCCCAACGCTGGAGACATTTGCAGATCATATGGTCAAAGTACCCCTTATTGCACTATTGAAATATCCCTCTGCTCCCACCTTGCCCATTGCAATAATCCCTTTCTCCATTTGCAGTATGTTTTTTTATTTTTTTTATTTTGCCACATGCTGATGTTAACATTTTATCTATTTAATGTTTCTATTGTAAATTAGGTACAGGTTTACATGCAACAATTCATATGCATTTTGCCTCGACTGATACAGTGCCACCCCTTCACTTCCCCCTCTGTCTCCTGTCTCCATTCCTCCTTTCCTAACTTGAACTTTGTTCAAGGGTAAATACCACCCTTTTGATTTGGATGGTTGATTAGTCTAACCTGGAATGAGTTCAGTTCCAGATCTGAAGGGTGACGGAGGGCCACAGTCTCAGGTCTCACCAGTCTATTCTCTTTCTCACTCTTAAAAAAGAGAACATTTGCTAAGTGTTAACGGGTAGGACAACTTGAGAAACTTAGCATCTGGGTAAGCGAGACCATCAGCATGGGGTCATCATGGTGTCCAAGGTTTTGCTGCAATACACAGCTTTACAAAGTACATGGGAGGCCAAAGAAAACAGTCACCAAAAACCATAGCTGGTGGCAGATCAATATAACCCCAGAGCTGGCTCAGGGCTAGGATTTGGAAGCGTGCACTGTACAAGGCAGAGGAGCTTACAATGGTGGTCCAGGGGCTTCCCTGAGACAGTGAGGGCACGGCTCAGGTGATCCCCCACGAAGGCACACCCAGGTAAACCCCTGATGCAGATGGCCTTTCCTTGGGCTAGTCAGGGTGGTGGAGGAAAACCCCCTTTGCAAGGCCCTCTGTCTGAGGCTGACACCATTCACATCCTTGGTCAATGGTCAGAGGGTAATGACTCTTTTGAATAAAGCCTCTTCTTTCCAACTTGAGATTTGTGTGTTTCTATTCAAGTTGTTTCAGCTTTATGTTATTAAAATCCCACTGCATTGAGTTGATTCCAACTCCTAGCGATCCTATAGGCAGAGTAGATCTGCTCCATAAGCTTCCCAGGCTGGGGATATTTATAGAAGCAGAGGGTCTCCCAATCCTTAATTCACCATGTCACCAGGCTTGCTTTAGTTTTAGAAAAAAAATATATATATGATAAATTGAGGGAAATTTTCCGGTTTCCCTCTCGGAGGTTGTATTAATGTATACTACTCACTGCCATCAAGCCGATGCCAACTCATGGTGACCCTATACGACAGGGTAGAACTGCCCCTGCGCGTTTCCGCCACTGTAACACTTCATGGGAGGGAGCAGAAAGGCCTGACTTCCCCCACACCTAAAGGAAGTCAGTACCTGCAGGTTTTAATGGTCACCCGGTATTCTAAGAGCTCATCATGTGGATGTGATGTATAGTTTACTATCTCCTTGAACTTGGATATTTATTTCATTCAAGCAAACAAGTAAGATGATTGTTTAAAAATAACTGATAATTGATAAAAAACGATAATTGCTTACCTGCCACAATGTCGGCACCCTTGTTTTAAGGAAAGAGTCATAGGTACCCTCCAGTTCTTGCGTGAGGATAATCTCTCCTTTTATAGCAAGACGCAGACTTTTCAAAGAGTCATGTATGACAGATAATAATGTATCAAATCGTCCAATTTCTTGTATCAAAAAGGTTAGCAAGACACAATGGATAAGGGGATCATGGTCTAGATTTAAAAAATGAAAAAAGAGACATAAATACAATTACAATTATTCCACAGTTATTCCTCCACCAAAGGAGGGTTATAAGGAGTGATACAAGCTTGGGAAGTTAAAGGCATTTTATGTGTCTAGATGAGGGGTGGGCCATCATTTTCCGTGAAAGGTTAGATAGTGAATCTTTGGGGCTTCGTGACCCACAGGGTCTGTCACCCCCACTCGAGTCTGCCTTTGCAGTGTGAATGTGCCCACTGCCCACGGCCATCAAGCCCACCCAGACTCGTTCAGAGTGACCCTTTAGCACAGAGGAGAACTGCCCTTTGGGTTTCTGGCATCTTTTTAGGAGCAGACAGCCTCACTCCCACAGGGCAAATGGTGGGTTTGAACCACTGACCTTGGGGTTAGTAGTTCAACATGTAGCCCAATAGACGACAAGGTCTCCTTGAGACCATCAATGAATGGTGCTGGCCATAATTCAATTCAGCTTTATTTATGTGTGTTTGACTTTGAATTTCATATAATTATCATGTGTCACAAAATATGATTCTTTTTTTGATCTCTTTCAACCATTTTAACAAATGTAGAAATCATTTTAGTTTGCAGACTGTACAAAAACCAGTGGTGGACTCAGTTTGGCCCACAACCCCTGGCTTACCAACCCTTAGTCTAATCTTATAAATAACGCTATTTTGCTATACTGTGGCTCACCATTTAGCTCTAAAGTGAAGCTTTCAAAAAGGATTCAAAATTGAGGTTGAAAATTTAACTATAGGTTGAAAATGATGATAGTACAGCTAGCCAGCCTCTCAGTGCTGAGCATAGAACCAATGCTGGGCAACCAGGCTTCTCCTCGCTCTCCTGGCTCTGCCCTCAGTCCCCGTACTACTGATCCATTGAAACCTTACTGCCCCCAATGCTGCTCCCAGAAGGCAAAGAGGCAGAACCCAAGGACTGGGCACTCCTTACAGTCTTCCATGCCCAGTCTCCTTCTGGTTTTCTAATTTCATTACTTATTTACTTTTGGTCTGGATAGCGTTCCTATCAGTCATCTTTTTCTCCCTCTGCTACCTTCTATCTTATTTTAGTCTTTAAAAAATTATTATTTAAAAAATAACTTTATTGGGGGCTCTTAAAGCTCTTATCACAATCCATCCATCCATCCATCCATCCATCCATCCACTGTGTCAAGCACATTTGTATGTATGTTTTCATCATCATTTTCAAAACATTTTCTTTCTACTTGAGATTTTACTGTGGCATTGTTGTCTGGTCATTAATCTACCTTTCCCCTCGCATTAAAGCCCCTCCCCGAGGAGGTAAAAGGGAGAGGTGGTAAACTCACGCCCACGCTCACCTTTGACATTTATCTTAAGAGACTCCCACACGGGGCTCGACATCATGCTTTTCAATGTGCTTATCGTTCCAGAACTGTCTTCTTTCTCTACAGTCAGTGGCAGCCGCTTCAGCATGTCAGATAGAATTTCCATGACCAAATTATCATTACTCTTTTCCCGACTGAAAAAGAAGGCAAAAGAACGACAGTAAGACCTGTCAAATTCAGGGGCTCCTTATCGTGTCCCGTCTGATAGGACATTGCTTCAGAGAACCATCATGGGGAAGACCTCGTAGAAACCATAGGATGGGTCTCCTTTTCCAGATGGGGAACAGTCTAGTACACTCTAGACAACGTAAGGAAGCCTAGCATCTCCTGATGGTTCCTTTCTTTGTATGATGTGCATCATGTGAAGCAGTGGTTCCTGACCTTCATGATGCCACCTTTTAATACAGTTCCTCATGGTGTAGTGACTCCCAGTCATAAAATGATTTTTTTAAAGAAATAATGTTATTAGGGGCTCATACAACTCTTATCACAATCCATACATATATCAATCGTGTGAAGCACATTTGTACATTCATGGCCCTCATCATTCTGAAAACATTTGCTCTTACTTAAGCCCCTGCTTATCAGCGCCTCATTTTTTCCCCTCCCTCCCGCTCCCCCCGCCCTCATGAGCCCTTGATAATTTATAAACTATTATTTTGTTATATCTTGCACTGTGCGGTGTCTCCTTTCACCCAAGGATCTACATATAACCTACTCCCTGGGGGAGGGACAACATAAAATCATTTCTGTTGCTACTTCATAACTGTAATTCTGCTACTGTTATGAATCGGAATGTAAATATCCGATATGCAGGACATAGTTTCATATTGATCATTAAAGCATAGTAATTAATCACAAAACAATACGTAATTATGTATTGTGAAATATTTATTTCTAATGACAAATAAATGAAATTTTGTCTTGAAGCGTGGTGTAGCATGGGTAACAGTCTTCCCACCGGGTAATCGTAAATGGGAAATGTGCTTTCCAATGGTTGTAGGCGACCCCTGTGAAAGGGTCATTTGACCCCCAACGGGGTCACGACCCATAGGTTGAGATGCCCTGATCTGAAGTATTGGTGTGATGGAAGTACCAGGGCGGGAATTAAAAAAAAAAAAAAAGGCGACCACCAGAGAGAACGTGGTCAGCCGACTGATGGTTGGCCAACTGCACCTCACGGTGCTCTGTTTCGCCACAGGGTCCCATTGGTCACGCGCCCATCCGCGTGCGTGCCATCCTGGGCAGCGGAGCTGTGGTGCGGTGCGGAGCGAAGCCTCGGCACAGGAAGGCCGGAGGTGTTCTTGAGAGCTTTTAAAAAAGTTAAGGGTTCTGGGGCCCAGGGCCGTGTGGGGACCTCCTCAGAGCAGTAGTGGATGAGCAGAAAATGAGGAATGATTTTCAATGAACGTGGCAGGCTTCACCCAGCCGAATCAAAGGCATCCTGTTAACCAAACCATCCAGCTGTTGTTCCGACTCCTAGCAGCTGCCAAGCCGACGCCCTTTGGGTCGCTCCAGCTGTGCGTTGGGTCCAGTGGTGCTACTTCTGAGCTGCTTTATAAATCACGTAAAACAAAATGTGTCTTTATTTTGTTGTCGCATTCTTTTGACTTTAACATAGGGTTATTCAGTAGAATGAACCCAAGGTAGTTTCAATTTATTTAAAAGATTAAACAAATCCAAATTAATCTTCCAAGGGCAAAGATTGGGTCAGAGCTGAGATAATCATAGCCTGGTCAAGGGACCAACGCGGCAACATGTGTATATAGTCTGGCCAATATTAGCACTATTGGATTACTCTTTAGAAATTCAGGGCCAGCAGAAAACTTAGTCTGCTATTTGGGGCTGAACTGTGGGATTGGCAGCTGGTGGCTCTTCTTTATGTGCACAACTTTCCTTGCATGCAGCAGAGAGACATTAACTCAGAGTTTAATGATCTCTACATCAGTAGGATAATGATGACATTCACAAACATGACCTAGTTTTACAGTGACAGGTTGAGGCGACCTGGGAATGTGGGTTATATGTGTAACATGATTTGTAGCTCCCAAGAGTCTGGGTGGGTAGACAGGCACCATTATCCCTATTTCTGAGTAAAGATAGTGATTTACAGTGACCTAGCAGGAGGTCCAATCTCCCCAATACAGGGCTATTTCTTCCTGACCACACTGTCCTCTGACTTCTGATGGCCATATTGGTCTGCCCTATAGCAGTAAATATGTCTTTTTCACATGGAAACAAACTCCATGGAAAAATACCACTCACCATGTATGACGCAATCCGGAACGCCACAAAGATTTACTGAGGACCTACAACATGCTTGGCGATTAGGTACTGACTCACCTACAGTTTATACACCTGTTTCTGTGTATTTAGAGAACTTGACTTCTCCATCATGTAGACTTGAGGTGGGGGTGGGCTTGGGGGATGGGGGACATCAGCCCTCGGGTGGTATAAGGTTTGAAAAACCCCCTCAAAACCAGCTAACATCACCCGCCTCACCAAAGGGAAGCCGTTCCACCCATTACATTGGGGTGAGTTAATCAAATGATTGGCCAGTATGGCATGAGAATGATGGCCCTTGGCAGATAAAAGGTTCTCCACCCCCATGTGACCTATACGGTTCCATACATTTTATATTGTAGCTCTTCATAGAAATGCTTAATTTTTGACAAATCATTTTTTCCTAGTGAGCCCTTACCTGATTGTGAGCCTGGTAGTGGTGGCTCTTGGCTGCATGTCAATGAGCGTTTCAATGAACTCCTGGCCCTGGGTCACCCTGTAGCTCCGTGTGGCCTCAGGGTGGATTCCTAAGATCTCAGGAGAATCGTCGTCAGGCAAGGACTGGATAAGGCCTATGCAGTCACTTATGTGTGCAGATTCCGGCAGAGGCTGATGGATCTGCAAATTTAACCACCTTGTTAGTGTTTGCTCGTGAGACATCTACTTTCAGTCATGCAGGAAGACGATATTTCCCTATGAATATAGAAGGGTCCTCCTATTGGTAGACAGTCTAGGTATCGTGGAAACAAGTTCTGCCAATAGCAACCACTGGGACCATTCTACAAAAAATGGAGTCACATGATATGCACATATAACTTTCTCACTGGGTGAAGAAAGAAAATAGAAGGGAAGGAAAAAGGAAAGAAGGAGTAATTTAACAATTGGTGTTACTCTGATCATCAGTTGCCTCAATGGACTATATCCACAGGCGACTGATGCAATGACTCTCAAGCATGTCATTTTACTTTGATAAGGAATGATCATCAGAATTACTGATTACAGACAAAGAAGTGTTAAGAAGTGGATAGTGGTGGCTTTCTTGATACCCCCAAAGAAAGACTGAAGATTAATACTACTAAGAGATGCCAAATAACAGAGCTAGAAACATTGATAGAAATAACAGCTTCCCCTGCAGAAGCAACTATTATAGGGGACAATAAGGGTTCCTGGGGCATGGGATGGGGGAGGGAGGGGATTAAGGAGAGCTGATATCAAGGAGTTCAAGAAGAAAATATAATAAAACTGTGGGGGACGGACAACAGAAAAGTGGGTCAAGGGAGATGTCAGACAGGGCAAGATATGACAAAATAATAATTTATAAATTATCTAGGGTTCATGAGGGAGGGGGGAATGGGGAGGGAGGGGAAAACTGAGGAACTGCTGCCAGGGGCTTAGGTGGAGAGCAAATGTTTTGAAAATGATGAGGGCAATGAATGTACAAATGTGCTTTACACAATTGATGTATGTATGGATTGTGATGAGAGTTGTATGAGCCCCTAATACAATGATTAAAAAGCAGGGAGGGGGGGCTTATATGAAGGAGTCCAAGAAGAAGGAAAATATATTAAAAGTGATTGTGGTAGCAATTGTACAATACTGCTCGATATGATGGAACTATGGACTATTATGATATCTGTAACAGCTGTCAATAAAATGTTTAAAAATTTTAAAAAGTGATTAAAGACATGAGGTCCTATATGATTGTATCTTTATGAAAGAAGCAGAGACAGGGAGACAGAGGAAGTATGTCCTTTCATGCGGTAGATGCAAGCCCAGGGGCTCCTAGAAGGATCGGAGTCTGGGGGAGAGGCATGGGACAATTTCTGCCTCAAAGCCTCAGAAGCAATCAAGGAGGGTCTTCCCCTCTTGGATCTCTAGGCTTCAGCGATAGTCTATTTCTGTTCTTATATGCCCCTGGGGTTTTGGCATTTTATGATAGCAGCCCAGAATGTGGTCTTTTTGGGTGCTTGAGCTAAGGGGCAAGCCTCCTGAACATGCCCCTTAGGTTGTACTAGCTTTATGTGCTCGACCCCCATGCGTCTCCGTTTCCTCATCTGACAGCTGGGAATAGCATCTATCTGATGTGGTTGTTATGATATGAGCCTTACGTGAGCAGCAGGTAAACTGACTAGCAGGGGATAGTTGATAAATGAATGTTAGTTTGCCTCGGGGCATACACTACGATTTTTATCATTCTTTTTACTTATGGCCTGGCAAAATGGTGTATTTAATCGAGTGGTAAATAAGTTACTTCAATAATCATGAAATTCCATATATGCCATGAACGTGAGCATTTATTTAAGTATAGATTTAAAATGCTGCAACACTATTTAGTTAAAAGTCCTCGGTGTACAGTCGTTTAAGAAGTTGTTTTCTTACCTCATCACCAGAGAAGCTGAAGCCATCGTCCAGCACTCTGGGATTACAAAATTCACAGAGAAGGGCCTTTAAGCCTTGCTTGTCCCAGTGATCAGTCACTCGGCCGCCATAGATCACTTCCCCAAGCAGGTACCGCAGACCTTGCCACGGAATGGTGGAATGTTCCCTCAGGAAATTTTGCAACATTTTGATGGCAACCTTGAGAAAATCCACTTGTCTTTATTATTTCAGTACATGTTTTCAGCTTACACTGACATTTTAACATAAATCCAACAATACTCAAAGAGATAGCAAGATGATGCCTAATATTAGGGCATTCATGAATTCTTTCTTATTGTTATTCAACAGAGTTATTATGGATATTATTATTTTTGAAAGATAAAGCAAGACATGGACTAAATTCAAAATGCAAGAAAGGCTAAACAAGGGGAGATGCATTTTCCTTGCCCTCTGCTCTCGTTATTAGATCAATTGCACGGAGGCAATCAGTTTTAGCATTTTCTGAGTAGCTTTACACAGATATCCTGTGGAAATATGTGCATATACCTCGATGTCCTTTTCCCCTTCCCCAGTTCTTTCTGTTTTCTCTCTTACCTTTCTTTCTGTTTTCCTTTCTTACACAAATAGTAGTTTCTTATACACACCCTCCTGAAATTTGACAATATACATCGCCTGTTCAATCTGTCCGTTGGTTGTACTGGTCTGTGGTGAAGAGTTCTCAGCACAACTCCCAGACTAAGTATCCCAAGAACAAAGGCCTGATGATCTAATTCTAAAAATTAGTCAGTAAAAACTGGATAATAACAGAACATTGTTCAATATAGTGCCGCAAAAGAAAGCCCTCAGGCTAGAGGTGCTCACCCAGTTCTGGGGAAGAGCTGCCTCCTTAAAGGAGAGCCGATGGAGTAAAGCCTCTGGGACCTTTGTTTGCTGATGGCGCGTGATTCAAAAGGAGAATAGTTGTAAACACCCACTTATAACCAGAACATAAAACGTACGAAATATGAATCAAGGGAAATTCGAAGTTGTCAAAACAAAATGGCATGTTTAAAGATCAATGTTCTATGCATTAGTGAGTGGAAATGGGAGAGTATTGGCCATTTTGAATCTGACAATCATTTTAGTCTCTCAAAATGGTAACAATAAGTCGAAGAGGAACAGTGTGGCCTTTGTCATCAACAACATTTCAAGCCCGAGCTCAAAGTACAATGCTGCCAGTGATCGGTTAATATTCCTATGACTGTAAGAAAGATAAGTTAATACAACTACATTCCAATATATGCTCCAACGACAAAAGCCAAAGATGAAGAAATCAAAGATATTTATGAACTGCTGCAGACTGACATTGACCAAATGTGTAATCAAGATGCACTGATAATTACTAGTGATTGGAAAATGAAGCAAAGCAGAGTCAGTCGTGAAAATAGAGCTTTGGTGGTAGCCACAATGCTAAAAAGAGCATGATAGAATTCTGCAAGTCCTTATTTATCAGAAATACTTTTACGACAACACAAATGATGACTATACATGTAGATCTTATCAAATGGTTTACACAAAAATTTCATTCATTGTGTCTGTGGAAAGAGACAATGAAGATCAATATTATTAGTCAAGTAAAAGCCAAGGGCGTGTAGAGCTAAGAGGGTGAACGAGCAAGATATTTCATGCCTTCACTCTGTAGCACAGACATGAGGAACCAAGTGGAACAGATAGAGGTGATTATCCCAGAACCCTGAACTTCAAGTCAAAGGATAAAGAAGTGGATCAAACGTTGCCTGGAAAGAGAAACTGCATGGCAGCAACAAAAGAGAAGCTATGAGGCGTAGAGGTGTCTTCCCAGTTGGCGTGGCACAGCCTGGCCACCTTGAGTCACGGAAAAGCAACTTCACAGAATGCCCAATAAGACAGAAATAGAGTGTAGACATATCTTCAGTGAAGCAAGGTGAGCAGACCATGAGCTGGATCTAAGGAAAGAAAGAGCAGAAAAGTGGGCCAGAACTCCAGAGACCCAGATGATCACAGAGCAGGTGACTGGGGATAGAAACACTCACAAGCAAGGACCTCTTCTTCATTTGAGTGGGAGATCCACGTGATGGGGAAGACCTGTGGGGTACCACAGACAGCCCCACCATGCATGGAGTTGATGCAGGAATTGGTTAACTGGCTGTACTCAAATGGGGATGCACCAGTGGCCACTCTAGTGAGTGGTGAGCAGAGAAATGCATGCTCTCTCATTACCCTGCATATCCTTCTGTTGACCAGAGGTGTGGCTCCCACCTCTATCCCCACCCACTGTCTTGTTATGTCCCCCCACTACTCCTTCCTCCCCCAGTGGTCCATCAGCCCCCACCTCTCCAGTGCTCTGCTCCCCCAGTGGCCTGAGAGATGGTCCTGTGGCTCAAGGATCACGTGCCTCCTGCTTCTGCCACCAGCATTGTGTGTTCTTGCAGGCTGCACACTCCATGTCTGCAGCACCTGTCAGGGGTTGTGTGATTCCTGAAGACAGGCTGCTTCGCTGCGCTTCCATGGCTCCCCACGCCCATGGTCCCTGCAGGTGACAGACAGTGCTTGATAGCACACTGTTTCTCTGTGTTTTCGCTTGTGTTGCTGCTGTTGTCTTCTCTTTTCCCTCTGTTTTCCTTCCTTCATCCTTCTTCTCCAACCTGTATTTTTTGCCCCATCAGGTGGAAGGGAGCAACTGTTTCCACATCGCTTAGCCACATTTGCTGTACCTGTAGCCCCGTCCACCTGCATCAGCACTGCTGGATGGGAAACAGTTGTGGCCAGCACCTGCCTAGTGCACTGTTGGCTGCTCTGGGGGACCAGCAAACAGAGACTCACATGCAAACCCCCACCCACTACCAAATGCACATGGGTACAAGTGCCGAGATCCCCAGGGCTACCAAATTAGCAACCACAGTAGCACCCCTTCTCCAACCTCAGGGTTCTATAAAAACCAAACCAAAACAAAAAGCAGGGTGACACAAAACAACATACAAAGAATAAATAAATACAATAACTTCAGTGTCTTGGCAGGAACAATGAACTTTAAATCACACACACACACTCACACACTCAGATGGCTTAAGCAAATGAATAAAACACAGTGCCAAAAAACCTTCCTGAGGAAGAAACTGGAATGAACTACCTGATAATTAAAAATGTATATACGTAGGCTCCTCAACAGATTGACAACGAGATCAAGGAACACAAAAGCAAAACCATGGAAGTCACAGACAAAATCAAGAAAAACGCAGATAAAACGATAGAATTCCAAAAAACAATACAAGATCAAATGAACAAAACGAGACAATTAGATACCATACAAAAACAACAACTAGAAATCCACATCAACACTAACATTTTTTTAATACTAAAATTTCAGAAATAGACAGAGCATCGTAAGGGCAAAGAATCTAATTGAATTCATGGAAGACAGAATCAAATCAATGAAATTAAAGTCAAATCCCTTGATGCCAGCCTATTAGAGGAACAATCAGGAAAAAGAAAGAAAATGAAAGAAAGCCTAAGAAACCCATGGGGCACCATCCAGAGGAACAATTACGATGCTGTGGAACTAGCCCAGAGCGAGCTCGGAGGGAGGACAAGTGGTGTCAGAACTGGTGAACAGGGTGCACAGAGGTGGCTGGTGGACCTCCGCCCACCTCCGGGAATCCGCAGCGGGTTGCTTCTGGTCATTTCCCCCCCTGAAGTTTGACAGGTTCTGGTGATGTGACTCCTACCAGTCCCATTTTATAAGATTGTTGTTCTTTGCCATTAAGTTGATTCTGATTGATGGTGATCTCAAGTGTGCAGATCAAAACCGCTTCGTTGGGTTTTCAGGACTGTGCAAGACTTTTTGAAAGCAGATCACACTTCATTTCCTAAGTGCCTTCAGGTAGGTTCGAACTGCCAACTGTTGGGCTACTAGTTGAGTGCTTAGCTGTCCATACCATTCAGAGACCATCTTTCTATATACTCAATTGCTTCCCCAAACATTAACACCAATCTAATCCCCCAAAACAAGACAGCCCGTTTCTCTGTATTTTTTGAGGAATGGGAAGGGACCTAAGGTTAATTTGAACAACTGTGTTAATGCAAGGTGGTAAATATATGTGTGTGTGTTTTCCATGACTCTTTTTGATTGTGATAAGATATACATAATGTAGTTATAATTATTCATTAAAATTTGAACAATTTATCCGTAAATTAGTTATTTATGAATTAAATATTTATGTATTTATTTTTAATACAATATTTTCTTAAGTTTATAAATACATTTATAAATTTATAAGTTTTCTTAAGTTTCTAAATTTATAAATTATAAATAAAAATTATTTATTGAAAACCATTTAAAGTGTACAGTTTGATGGCACTATGTCTACTCAAGATGTTGCGTAACCACTGCCACAGTTTAGCTCCAAAGTTTCACCTCACTCCCAAAACAGGTCCCATGCCCACTAAGTAGTCTAATTCTCCTCTGTCCCCAGCGCCTCTCCACTAATCTAATTTCTGCTTTCATAAATTTGTCTACTGTAGATATCGCATATACGTGGACTCATACAGTAGGCGAGCTTTTATGCCAGGCTGCTTTCACTTTGCATATTCTTCTCAGGATGCATGTTGGAGCATGCATCAGAACTATATTTCTTTCTCTGACTGACTGGTTGTCTGATGGGTAGTCCACATTTTGCCATTCACCTGTGTTTTTAAAACGATTTATTTGTGGTTTGAATGAACATTTCTTTGATTACCAAAGAGATTGAACAATTCTTCATAATCTTACTGCCATTTGTGTGTTTACTGTGAATTGCCTATCCATGTCCTTTGCTTATTGGGGTATTTTTTTCTTAAAAAAAATCATTTTAATGGGGGCTTGTACAACTCTTATGACAATGCATGTGTCAAGCGCATTTGTACATGTATTGCCATCATCATTTTCAAAACATTTTTTTAGTTGAGCCCTTGGTATCAGCTCCTTTTCCCTCTACCCCACCCTCCCTTCCTCATGAAACCTTGGAAATTTGTAATATTTTTTCCATGTCTTACTCTGACCGATGTCTCCCTTCACCAACTTTTCTGTTGTCCATCCCCCTGGGAGGGAGTTATATGTAGATCCTTGTGATCAGTTCCCCCTTTCTCCCCTCCACCTTCCCTTACCTTCCTGGTATTGCTACTCTCATTATTGGTCCTGAGGGGTTTATCTGTCCTGAATTCCCTGTGTTTCCAGCTCTTATCTGTACAAGTGTACATGCTCTGTTCTAACTGGATTTGTAAGATAGAACTGGGGTCATAATAATGAGGGGGAGAAAGCATTAAAGAACTAGAGGAAAGTTGTATGTTTCACTGGTACTATACTGCATCCTGACGGGCTCATCTCCTCTTCCTTGTGATCCCTCTGTGAGGGGATATCCAAATGTTTACAGATGGGCATTGGGTCTCCACTCTGCACTCCCCTTCACTCACATTGATATGATTTTTTTGTTCTGGGTCTCTGATGCCTGATACCTAATCCCTTTCCCACCTCATGATCACACAGGCTAGTGTATTTCTTCTATGTGGGCTTTGTTGCTTCTGAGCTAGAGAGCTGCTTGTTTATCTTCAAGCCTTTAAGACCCCAGATGCTATATCTTTTGATAGCCAGGCACCATCAGCTTTCTTTACCCCATTTGCTTATGCACTCATTCAGCAATTGGGTCAGAAAGGTGAACATCACAGAATTCCAGATTATTAGAACAAAGTGTTCTTGTGTTGAGGGAGTACTTGAGTAGAGGCCCAATGTCTGTCTGCTACCTTAATACTTAACCTATTAATATATGTACATAGATCTATTTCCCTATTGTTATATAGAAATATATTTACATATGTACATGCCTGTAGTTAGACCTCTATGGATGTCCTTTGCCTCCTAGTTCTTTCCTCTATTTCCTTTTACTTGTGGGGTATTTTTCTTTTTCTTAATTTGTAAGAACGTTTCTGATAATAAGTATGTTAACCATTTGTCTAATCTATAAGTATGGTAGGTATTTCCCTCAATATATTGCTTGCCTTTTGATTGAGCTGTGAGTTCAGTTGGGATAGAAATACATATTGAGTTCACATTTCTTGACATGTATGTTTAGTTAGGTGCAGAAGCACAGACTCTGGTACTCTGATAGGCAATCATCGAGAAAATGGAAAAGCCTAATGTGGTAGTCACCTAATCTGGTGTCAATTTAAGGATTAAGAGTGTAGGGGTGGAGCCTAGGCTGTCAATCTGGAGATAGCCAATGAGACTTCTGTGGGCCTGGCCTTCTCCTGAGAATTCTGGGAAGTCTGGTACTTCCTCCTTGGAGGTGGAAGACACCTCTCTGCTGCTCCCTGGGAGACACTGCAGAGGACAAGCCACATGGATGTAACCAGACCTCAGAAGCCGGAGAAGCCACAGAGAGACCCCTGCCAGCACTGAGATGCTTACAATGCCACTGGACCTAAAGAGTTTCTACCTACTGGCTTGTGATTGTCCTGCATTTGGCTTCATTGTATATGTGTTCTGTGAGTCTGAAGAGGACTTTATAGATTGATATCGGACATATGGGCTAATATTGGACTTATGGCCTTGAACTGGACTGGGCTGGGAGGTTTGCTCGATGTTCAATTGCTCTTGTATATAAACCTCTTTCCTATCCATGGATTTGTTTCTCTAGTCTACCCAGACTGACACACCTGGAAAGGACATATAGAAAACAGAGATGGCTATGGAGCTAGGATCTTTTCAGACAATGCAGGGACCGTGACAGGATCAAGATGTTCCTCAAAAGCCCTTGTTGTTTCTGCTTTGATGTATTATAAATAGGTAATTAAAGTAAGTAATTAGATGTTCTGTTCTGGGGGCACACTTAGGAAGATTAACCTTGGAAAATGTAGCAGTTGTTCCCATTGTAGGTAAGGAGCCCTGTGGTCTAAGTGTTGGGCTGCTAATGGGAAGGCTGTCAGTTCAAACCCACCAGCTGCCAAGGGAGAAAGGTGAGGCTGTTCCTGTGAAGATGTACAGTCTTGGAAACCCTCTATAGTGTCGCAGCTGCGTCAGATCAACTTGTTGGCAGTGGTAGACCACAGCAGCTACCACAGTAGACCTATTAGCAATAAAGACAATACCTAGAACAATGTTCTAGTAGAGGGTTTTAAATAAAGAATGCTAAAGAAGGAATATTAAGTTGATTTTATACTACCAGCTCTTCCCACAATGGGTCCATGTAATCTCTCATTTTAAATGAAAAAGTAATAATGGCAAAACTTTTATAGTGATTCATACATATCAGGCAATGTTCTAAGGGCTTTATCTAGCTTAATTAGTTTGTCTCTGAGATCCAGAGAGGTTAATTAGCTTGCCTACCAGATTCATTACCTATATACCTATATACCTATAAGTATATAAGTATATAAGAACTTTTTGGTTCCAGGACACCTGGCTTCAATGTCTATGCCCAACCTCTTATTGTCTTGTTTCAGTCCCTGTTCATACCACACGCCCAAACACTTAGGATTTGTGCATGCCCTTAAGTCTCTCAGCTTATACATGTTACTGATTTGTTGTTACTTACTTCCAAATCTGAAGAGCTAAATTCATAAGGAAGATTCCAGCCCAATATTCCGTAATTTTTTCTTTCATTGATCACAGCATTGAAAAAACATAGGCTGAATAAGATCTTTTTCCACCATGGTCCAAAGTCAGGATTTTCAAATATCTCTTCTGTTACCTCTCCACTCCCACTGTGTCCAAACGTCTGAAGTAAATTGCTCTTCAATCCCTGGGGGTATTCCACGGCAACCTGTAAAGCAGATGTGAGTCAAACAGCACGTGAGGACTCAATGTGGGGTAGAAATGGTACGCGAACTAGCTAAGACTGTAACTGCTTTCAAAATTCAGAGGCAGATAAAAATCTCTGTTATTGGGCTACTACATACTCTGGAAATTCAATACCCCAAATCAAGACTATTAAAGATACAATCTTTTTTCCCCAAAGGGGGAAAAATCTTTGTTATTGTTCTCTCCATTTGACAATGTCTGCAAAAGGATTGTGCTGGGATTTTTCTTTATTCCAATTCGCACTTTAAAATGAGAGCATAACTAAGTCAAAGCAACCCGGTTCCGTCACCCATGGCGGAGAGGCTGTTACACTGTGGTGGCTTGCACGTTGCTATGGTGGACCTGTTTCAATGGAGCGTTCAGACTGTAACAAGGAAGACAGACCTGATGATCTACTTCCAAAAATCAGCCAACGGAAACCTTCTGGATTACACCGTGTCTGGCTCGCTTGCTTTGGACCCATTATCAGGAGCGATCTGTCACTGGAAAGGACGTTATGTTGGGTGGAGTCAAGGGCCAGCAAGGGTGAGGGAGACTCTCGCTGAGTAGGGGTGCCGCTATGGCCACACCACTGGAACCTGCTGGTGATTGGGAGGACGATGGAGGGTTGGGAAGTTGCTTTCTATCGTACAGGAGATTCCCAACAGTTGGGATTAGTTTGAGAGTTCTGGAATGGCACTGGTGTGGAAAGCTTGACAACCAAGAGTTATTGAACATAGGGAATATCTCTTAAGCCAAACAGCCCTCCTACTAGGGTTCCAGTAATTCTTCTCGGATACATTTCAATTGATCAAACATGACCAGGAATGCTATCCTCTCCTCACCATCAATCTTAGATCCCTTACTATTCCCTTGTCCCTTAACTCAGTGCTCCCCTTCCCCGACCTTTTCCTCCACTGATGGTGCCTGGCTATTAAACTATATAGTGTCTGGGGCCTTAAAGGCTTGAAGTTAAACAAGAGGCCATCTAGCAGAGAAGCAAAAAAGTCTACTTGGAAGAAGCACACCAGCCTGTATAATCATGAGGTGTCAATGGGAATAGGTATCAGAAGTTCAAAAGCAAGCAATCAAATTGACATGAAGGAGTATAGACTAAGTGGAGACCCTAAACCACCCGTGTTAGACTGGGTACTGTAGAGAAACAAATCCAAGAAACTCATGTATAAGAGAGTTTTAGATAAATGTTAAGTGCGCATCAAGAAAACATCCCAACCCAGTGCTGCCCAAGCCCACAAGTCCAACATTAACCCATTAACCCATATGTCCAACACCAATCCA